TAAAAAACAGTAATTAACTTAGAAAAATAGCATTATATTTTTCAGGCGAATCTATAATTTAGAATTTAATTATAAATTCCCTATCTAATTGCAATTTATTTAATTAATATGGGACCTTTGCAATAGAAAAGGGGGAAACGGCTGGAAAAAATAAAAATTGAGTTAATGCTAAATCTGAACATATTTTGACTTAAAAATCATATTTGGCATATAAAAGTAAAATTAATTTTTTCCGGCAGTTTCCTTCCTTCTATTGCAAAGGTCCCATATGTTCTCATGCCTCACTAAATTGTTGAATCTACTAAAATATTTAGAATGAAGGTTGATTCTTGTTTAATGAAATTTCTACAATAAAAAAAAGTGATATCAGACTTATTTATTCGCTATGTTAGCTAGCATCGTTTAAAGTTTTCTCAATTTTCTAAATTTATTTTTAATCTTTTTTTCATGTCACCTTATAATTAATTTCACTTACAGCGTATGATCCTTCAAATTTTTTTTTACTTCACCATATAGTAAATTATTTATTCGAGATTTACAAATTTATTTTATTAAAATAAAAGAAGTAAGTGACAGTATGGTGAATATTCGATTTTAGTATTGTAATAATTAATACTGAAGCATACTAAATTCAAAAATATATAATAAATATTAATTGAGGTATTATATAACATTGCATTGTTATTATTATTACTGTTCCTTTTTTTATAGATTATACATGAAGTGAAAACAAACCAAATCAATAAAACAATTTCGATTGCAAACGGTTCAAACCGAAGAAAATGAAGTAAAAAGAAAAGAAATTAAAAATACAAAATGAAAACTAAACGAAAAGTATACATATCGCGCTTAATTCTAAAGCTAAAAAATAACTAAAATATCCAACAGTAATTGCCGCAATTCGCCTAAATAAAAGTATAAAATAAAATTAAATGAAGGTAAAATTAAAATAAATCTTTATTATGCAACCTGAAATGATCCAACCCGAAAGAATTCTCCTAAAAAAAATCGTTTAAAAGAAAAACGAAAAAATATGAATTAAAAACTAAAATCATTTTAACAACAATTTAGACAGACCCTCTCCATCACGAGACTGAAAAAAAAATAATCAATACGAAAAAAGGAAAGGAAGGAAAAATGAAATCATCCCCGATAAGTTAAGATCGCGAATTATTATATGTAAAAATAAATTGTCAGCTCAATGCGATCGTTTTCATTTCTATTTGGTAAGAATATTGTGGATTAATAAGGTTGCCATGCACAACCCTATTTTTATTAAAGGAAAAACTGCAAAAGTTTCACTGATGGCAAAATCTATTAGATTCTCTAATATTAAAATATATTTTTAAAAATTCCCTTTTTGGTAAATCAATTTAATTAGCATTTTTAGCATTTATAATTTGAAGAATTTTCAGCACCTATTAAGCATAGCATTTGCTTTGGAGGCCGGGTATACCTAAAAACCGCTGTGAACGCTTTTCTCGTAAATAATAGAATATGAATTATTTGTGACATAAATATTCTGCTATCAAATAATTACAGTATTTTCATTAAAAGCCCCGAATTTGCCATTTGTAAATAATTGGTCGATGGTATACATATCAAAGTTTTAAAACGAATTTATATACTTACGAATATATAAATTTATATTCATTAACCGACTGTTGTATTCATTTCTTTAGTTTATGTATTTATAAACAATTTTAAATGTAAGCAGAAGGTTTTTATTGAATAAAAATGAAGTAATATTCATTGAAGATAAAAGAAAGTTTTTAAGGTTCATATATGCAATTATAAAGAGGTCGAGTGTGGTATATTGAGCTGTTTTAGGATTACAGCTTAATAAATATAAAAAAAAAAAATAATTAAGAAAGCCTTATATCCTACAAACCTGTCAAAATGATCCACAAAGGACTAACTGCAAATATCGAAAAACAATCTGCATGCGTAATTATGGTGTTTTCGGTCAGAATTATATTCCGTCCATAAAAAAAAAAGCTTACAAATTCAAAACCTCCAACTTTTTGTATTATTCGTAATGGTAACATGCAAGGCCCAGAAATATAATTTCAGAGTTAGAATTTTAGATAATATTAAAAACCAAAACTTTTCTTAAAAGAATTTTTTTTTGTTTAATTGGATTGGATTACATTGACTTTCACAATTTCCTATAACCTATATACTACGCAAATTTAGAAATGAATAACCTGCTTCAAATTTCATTTCCATTATTGCAACTAAAAATGACACCTACTTTTAATGGACCGAATTATAAAATATAAAACAGACATAATTTTAAGTAATGCTAACACTTTTACTCCACTTTCTATACAGTCAAATATGAATGAATTGAATTTGATAAATATGGCGACAATATAGTTAGATAACAAAATCTAAGATTTCGTGTATATGTATCCATACTTGATAATTTGCCTTCTATAGTCAATAGAATAACAAGAAAAAAGAGTTAAGTTTGCCCGATTAAGTAAGTTTGTTATTAAATCATGTTGCAGTTCATTCTTTTTACTATTTCTCATAAAGATTTTAATAAAGAACGACCCGAAGGAGTTGCAGATTGATTAAATAAATCAAATAAATTTTCATTAGGACTTCTAAAAAAACGTAAAATAATAATAAAAATATAATTTATAAGAAAGAAAGCGAAAGTGTCTACAGCGTGATAGACAGCTTTCAAATAAACATTTCTAATTATTTAAATCAAGGAGCTTGCCAATCAACATTAATGAAAATGGAATCAATACAATTAAACATCAAAGTCGAAATTACAACAATTTGTATAAGAAGAATTCGAAAATGATCAAATTTTATTAAGGGTAATCAAACTAAATGAAATTATTATTGTATATGGTACATAATGATCCATCCGACACCTCGCATCAATAATGTATTTATAAAATTAGCAATCATTATTATTGGCCTCAATTGTAAAAAGACATAAGTTTTCTTCTTCCTCCTCTAGAGGTGGTAGTGTTGGTCTACTATCGTCTTAGCCTGTCATATTGTCTATTGACATATAATTGGTTTTATTATCAAAGGTATATTGAGCCGAACTGACTTTTCACTAGGTGTTAAAAATTGTTAAATTTGGGAGATTAAATCACTCTTAAGGTGATTTTGTCAGAATCTGATACAAGAATTGAGGGCCTATATAAGTTAGGAACTATATTAAATCCTTTAACGTAGAACCGTAATTGTTTGATAGGGAGGCTTTTTCGTTAATTATTTAATGAAAAGCTTCGAATTTCCAGCAAATATTATTGCTAATTTTGTTAATCTGGAATTGAAGCGAAACTATATTAACCTGCAAGGATTTAAATCTAACTAAGGCCCGTCCTAAAATAACAATTTTGCGAATTTTAATAAAATTCAACGGTTTTATCAGGTATATTGTATCACAATCATAGAATATAAGAATAGATTTTTCTTTTTTTTGCTTTTTATTTTAAATTGGAACAAAAGTTCCAAAATAATACGTTATTTATCGAATAAGAAGCACAGGAACTTGTTGAAAAATTAGAATTACCGGTGATGATTTTTCAAATGAAAGTTTAATGGACGAAGAAGAAGATAGGAATCTTGCCATGAGTTTAAATGAAGAAAATACTAATTGGGAGATAAATGATTTAGATGAAGAATAAATTTAATTCAATTTTAATATGTAAATTTTATGATTTTTTTATCTTTTTAAAATATTGTTGTATTCAGTTCTTTCGTTTATGTGTTTATAATCAATTTTGTTATGTAAGCAGAAGGTTTTTATTGAATAATTATTGAGTAAAAATGAAGTAATTGTGACAAGTATTTATTTAATAATATCAAGTTAATCAGTAATGCCTTAACTTCAACGCTCTACACTTTCGATATGTCAATATATCAAACTAAGTAAATGCATTCAATAAAGCTTCTAATTAATTAAAACTGCGTAATTACGAACAATTACAAAATATTGAAAAATAAAATAATATAAACGCAGTTATAAATACGAAATCTAAAAAGTTAAAAACGGCGAAAGCGAAAATGTCGCGAAGGTGTTAGAGAAAGGATTTCGAGGTATATGTATGCAAAATATAATTAGGGCGAGCGTGGGATGTTTAGTTATTTAAGGATTTCCGACTCGTATTATAAAAAAAAAAAATTAGGCCAGCCCAGCCTGAACCATAAATTTTATAAACGTGTAATTGATTAGCCTATATGGAGACACGATAAAGGTTTGAAAGGGGTGAAGATAGAATTTTTTTTTATTACAAGCTTTCGGAATTCTCTTCTCAAAGGTTCGTCAACCATACTCTCCTCAACCAAGACGGACTTTTGAGGATTTATACAAAGAATCCTTAAACTTTTGCTTCACTATATAAGATAATATGATAATATAATTCGGTACCACTAATGTAACATGAAATTCGTTGTATAAAATTTTGTTGTAAAGAACTTCATTTTCGTAAAATTGCAAATACACGGAGAAAATTTGAAAATCGAGTCATTTAAGAATTTCAATTACAAAAAAAGGTAAACAAATTTTTGGTTAACCAGGATACTTCACCATATACCATTGATATATTTTATTTAATAACTTTTAAGAAATCGATAATGGAATCACCCTCAATAATTGGCTAATAATAGTATGATGCTCATGCAGCTTCTCCTCATTTTTAATTATCAAAGGAACAAAACTAATATAAAGAATAAAAAGACAAATCAATTATAAATTTTAGCCAATCAACGCCTCTTTGAAAAAAGGGTGGTGTTGGCTTGGTATCTGTAAACTTAAACGATTAACTTTTAATTCAATCCGTCGAATTAAATGCAAGACAATATCACAATCTGTCCAACCGAATCATTATTATTACTTTCAAATTTCATAAATTTGCAAGATCTTACATTGGAACCTAATTATGATATTTCTGTATTTTTTAACACAACTACCTTTTCTCAACTGAAAGTTCTAAGAGTTTTAAAACATCATAAACAAGGTCGAGTTAATGTATTTTACAAAGGAATGGGAGAATTTAAAACGTTTACATATTGAATTTCATGATAATTCATTAAATTTGGCTATACCAAATTTTTGCCCAAATCTTAAATCATTATATACGATAATCTTGAAACAAGAAGCGGAAACGTTGAAAAGTATTTTGAGGGGTTGTAAACGTTTAGAAAGGATTCAACTTTGTAATGGCTTTTTTTATTTGAGAGCAAATGATATATTTGATATTCTCGCAAAATATTCCCAATAAATTTTCATAAGCTAAGATTAAAAGATGTAAAATCAGACATTTCTCCTGAAAATTTAGAGTACTTTTTAAAGAGTTGGAAGGATCGTATGCCACATAAAAAATTTTTTTAACCATCAGGTCCGTTAATAATGTTTTTAGTGAAAAAAATTTGAGTGTGCTACAGAAATATTTTGATTTAGGCATTGTTGAAAATTTTCAAGATGATGAGATGTTTGATTATGAAGGTCGTGATGTAACATTTCGTTATAGGTTACGACGTAGTATTCATTCTATTAGTGATTATCATTGATGTAGAGAAAATTTTCCCAACACGACAGATAATTAGATAAATTCACATACCTTGACACCATTATTAAAGAACCTCAACGAGCTATTACACTTGTATCATTTACACCACGTATCCTCAGAGGACAATGAAATTAGAGAAGTGAATTGGAACTATTTCCGTATTCTTTATTCATCATGAACAAATTCATAAATAGCCTGATTCTTGGAAATATCTTAATCAATAGTAGATTTTTAAAAGGGTCTAATCATAATATCAATAAGAGATTTTAATAAATAGAAAGTATTGAATTTGTTGATAAAGTTTCAAAGAACCGTAAATATTTTATGTTGGAACCTATAGTTGCACTGATATAATTATAATAGTGTATAAAATCGGAAATTGGGAATAAATTATAAATACATTATGTATTACTTTATTTTATTATATAAATGAAATAATAAAGATAAAACGATTGAATAAATTTTGAATTCCTGCCAGAATAAAAACATTATGCATAATTTAATCAGATCTTAATAGATCATTCCCGGTTAGGTATAGTTACGTTACTGATAGGGATGGATCGGTCTGGTAAGACCGGTCTTAGACCGGTTAATAGGACCGGTCCTTGCGTTCCTCGGTCCATATTTTGAGGACCGGTCCGGACCGGTCTTTTATTATTTATACATATTATTTTAAATTTTATAAATA